TTTGTGTATTAAATAAAATAAAATTTTGCAACAAAATTATTGGTAATTGATGTATCTAAATTTGAAATCAATTTAAAAAATTAAATTTTTTGTGTATTAAATAAAATAAAATTTTGCAACAAAATTATTGGTAATTAATGTATCTAAATTTGAAATCAATTTTAAAAAAATATTTAATAATATTTCACGATCATTTTTTTATAATTTATTATTGCTAAATGCTGGCAAAATATTTTTGACAAGAATAATAACAAATATCGAAAATAAGATATTTAAAAAGCGACCTTCTTGTTTGCTTTCAAAAATGACAATGACCTTAAATTCAATTTTATTAAATATTGAATATTATTTTCAAAAATATGCATCACATTTGGTTTTTAAAAAAAAGTATTGTTTTAAAATAATTTAAACAAATAATTTATTCGAATAATTTATTTGAACTAATTTAATTTTTTTTAATTATTATTTTTTTAGGACCGAAATCTAATTCTAGTCTTTCTGTAGTAATGCAAGTATTATACGGAAAATAACTTAGTTTTACTTGCAAAACGAACATTAGCAATAGTAAATTATAAAAAAATGATCGTGAAAAATTATTAAAAAATTTTTTAAAAATTGTTTAAAGTTAATAGTCTTTTAAAACTATTCTTTTTTTAATATTACTTACTTTAAGTGCAAAAATTTGTAATTTTGCAAATTGCTGCTAAAATATGTCAGCTATTTAAATTCGTAATTATTTAAGTTCGTAACTTTTTACAAAAGTTTGATCAACCTTGTGATCAATAAAAATGGAAATTTAATTTCCAATTTTAGTTTTGAATTCAAACAAACTCAAAATTAACAAAGTACATTTGATCTGAAATCAATAAAGATCATTATTCAGAGTGATCTTCGAAAATCATTTACAAGATTAAACTTGAATGCTTAGCTGGAACAAATTGCATATTTTTTGATATAATCAATAATAATTACTAGTTTTTTCAATATTACTTATTCGAATAAAAAGTAATAACTTGCAGTTATTAAATACTCCTTTCAATATTAAATAATTTGCATTGCAATAACTGAGTAGTAAACATTTAAAATAAACTTGATATTTGCAAAAGTAAAAGTTTACGAGTAGTAATGGCATTTTTACGTTTTTTTTACACAAATTTGCTTACATTTTGAAATTTTATACGTGAAAAATTTAGTCTCGCACGTGAGTGGTTTTTAAATATATAATTATAATAATTAAAAGCTCATGCAAAATTTTTTGACTTCTTTTTCGCAAAAGCTACTTGCTAATTTTTTCAAAAAATAATATAAATTACCACACGAATATTTTGGCATTGAATTAATTAAGAATTTTAATCAAATCTCAGAGAGAGATAAACTATTCGATTATACTTTTTTAAGTAATAATATTAATTATATCTCTTTTTGAGTAATAATATTAATTATATCTCACAGAGAATAATTTTTTTTTTGCGCATTTGATACCATTACAAATGTATTCTTAGAAATGTGTGCTTTGTAAAACTGTATCAAAAACTTTTGTATAGTAGATCAATATCGTAAATTTTTATTTTTTTTTTATGAAAATGATCTTATTTGTTTTGTTTTTTGAAATATATTTTAGTCCAAAACAATGCATATGCATACTGTTTTACGTTTGTACTAGTTTTGTAACTGTTTTTGTACTGTATTTTACTGTCAAATGTAATCGAACTTCTATAAAAGTTAACTATGCTGATAGCTAACAAAAAATTCAGGATAATATTTTGTAAAAACAGGTTGAGATGGAATCAAAGCAGTTTCAATGACTCACAAAAATATCCAGTTTGGATAGAATCAGTAAATATACATGTCACAAATTTCAGTGGGAAATTGAATACTTATAGATGCAATAAAGTAGCAGTGAAATGTATGGAACTCATTCACGGATTATCAAAGGAGGGGATAATTTAATCAGAGGTTAAATTAATCACTGAAAAAGAAGTCTAAGCTAGGTTAAGAAGTCTATTTAAGTCAAAAAGTTTAGTTTATATCACGCTTTGACAATAATTTTTTTTAATATTTATTCACAAAGCCATTTTTTAAACAATTTTATAGAATGCAAATATTATTTGTAACTTAAATATAAATATCTCTATTATATGTAATATGTCGTGAGTCTGATTTTCATTTACGAATAGCAATAAGTATGAAATGTAGATAAAAGTAACAAAAATAGGAAAATCTGCTCAGTAATATATAGATAGATAGATATGTCATGTACGACAGGTCGGAGGTTAATCTTCTTTTTTGTCTTCTTGATAACTCGCGTTGGATCATGTTCCTGCACTCTCGCTGTACTCTCCTGACATGCAGTTTTACTAGTACCAGTGTACTGGTCAAGGCGATTGAAGAGAGCCCCGTGAAGGTCATGGAGCTCTCTTCAACCGTATCACTTGTACTTCCATTTGTTTTCATTTATGATTCCAGGCTCGGTTTTTTTTCCACTTATCCTCCATTTCCTGCTGATCTACTAGTTGGCCGCTTAATCGCTCAACAACTAGGTAGATCTTTTTATTTATATATATAAAATAAATCCGGAGGTTAGTTTTAATATTTGCTTTATTAATTCTGCCGCTGGATTGCATTGCGGCACTCTGGCAGTACTTGTCTCGCGCAGTTAGATTTGTTGTACTCATCGTTCTCGCTTCGTCCTCCTGGAATCCATAGCAAAAAAGGTCATATTCAGCAAGTAGATCATTTTTTTTGTACTAGCAAGTAGGTCATATTTTCGTTTTTCACTAATTCGACGAGTGTACCAATAATACAAATTAAAAACAACTCATCGTATTCATCATCACATGTCAATTTGAATACGCAAAAAATCATTTCTGAATATTAATTAACTTATTACCAACTATGAGAATCAGTAAAAAACTCAGTATTTTGGCTTGGAGACACTAGATATTCATCAGTTAATATTTAGAATATTAATCTTACACGAATATTCTCTCTGCCTTCCAAAAAGTTTGTGCTTTGAATTTAGTTTTTTAAATATAATTAAATATTTTTGTTCAGACTTTTCTTCACAATAATTTACTAACATTTTTATTTTTTATTTTTGTAATAAATTTAAATAAAAGTTTTCAGAGAGTGCAAATAACTGGACAGAGACGAATTTGATTCAGAATTCTCGCGTGAAGGCAGAGAAGGGATGGATTCTCGAGCAAATGATATTTGGTGCTTATTTATTTATTTGTTTATTTAATTATTATTTATTTACCTATTCGAAAAATATTATTTTCACATATTTTGTATATCAAAATTACATTTATAATTATGGCATTACATATTTATTATCATTAATTAATTACTTTTGGTTTTCTTTATCAATGACTTTATCATTATGCTCATTGTCATTGTTCATTCTTGGCATTATCAACAGCTATATACTAAGTATTAACCAATACTTTTTTGTTGTTATCATCATCTATATTATTAATATCGTTATTGCTGCCATTATTAGTAACGACTACAGTAACGACAATGATATAAAAATTTTTGTGTTACAAAAAGAAAATGCAAATAATAAAAATTATTTATGCTTTAGCCAAAGTATGCCCTTGAAGGTGTGTTTTTATCAATACTGGATAAAAACTTAATTACTGAATTCGAAAAGCATAAAGATAACCAATTCTATGCTGAAGAATGCTTTGCGCAGAAAATCACAGCTGTACAAAGTTATTAAATTTAGTGGAGGATTTATTTATTTGATTCATATTTCTTTCATGAGGTCAGCAAAAATTCTAATATTTTGATGCACTATGAAGCATAAATTTATTTTTTATATTATAAATTGTTGTTGTTTATTTCACGAAAATGAAAAAACATCTGTATAAACAATAAAATTTTTGATATAAAAATGAGTGGTTTGGTAAATATATAAAAATATATAATAATTTATCTGATTTTGTAAATATATAAAAATATGTAATAATTTATCTGATTTTGTAAATATATAAAAATGTATAACAATTTATCTGATTTTGTAAATATATAAAAATGTATAACAATTTATCTGATTTTGTAAATGTATAAAAATATATAATAAATTATCTGATTTTGTTTTGCAGTTGAGCACTATTTTTATGCATTGTATTGGATTTATTTAATTTTAATGTAAAAATTATATTTGCATTTAGATACTATGCAAATTATAGAAATGATTTCTATATATTTTGTATTTTAATAATTGTATTTTTATATTTTAAATTTAAGCTCTTTAGAAAAATCAAAATAGAAACCAAATCTGATAAATTAATTACGATTATTACAATAAACAATTATGATATATTGTTTACAGCAAAATTTTTGTCAACAAAACTTTACTTTATTATAGTTGTAATTTTACCTTGCGAGTTTTATTAAGATTGCATAAATTACCTCTGCAAATCATCACTTTTTAATTTTACTTTCATGAATAAATTATATTTGCATTAATAATATTTGAAGAAATTACTGATTACTGATCATGATAAGAAGTTACTGATAATAAAAATATATAATATTAATAATATTTGAATAAATTATCGATTTAAAAAGATTCATTAATTTGCAAGTCTAATTACACGTAACTCTAATTTTTATTATTTCATATGAATATTTTAATCCTAACTAACTACATAGCATATATTTTACTTTAAAAAAAATTTATATTCAAAAAATTAAAAATAAAAATTTTCAATTTCTATTAAAATTTCGCTTTTAAATGACATTATTATCTGAAATCAAATAATGATTTTCTCAATGAATTATTGTAATGAAAAATATATTAAAAGAAGAGGAATATATAAAGAATAATACCAAACAATCCCTTAGAGAGATTTTGCATTACTACAAATTACCAAAAATTATTTATAATCACAAATAATCTCTTCTACATAAATTGGCAATGAAAAGATCCTAAAATATTAATGATATTTACGTTTAATGTTGTTGCTTTTGCT